GAATAGTTCTTCACGAAGTTCCTATAGTAGCCGCACATTCCTAAGAAAGATATGACCTCAGTAACAGTCTGAGGTCGTGGCCAGTCCCTGATACTAGCCACCTTCACATCTTCCGACCTAATTCCTTCCGCGGATACTTCATGACCCAAGTACAAGATCTTAGTGCATCCAAACTCACATTTCTCTAAGTTGACCTTATACTCGTGGTGTCGCAGGAGTGAAAGTACAGTCTCAACGTGTTGTGCATGCTCTTCGACAAACTTACTAAAGATAAGAATATCGTCAAGGTATACGACGACAAGCTTATCTAAGTAGTCATGGAAGATCCTATTCATGGTGTGCTGGAATGTACCCGGCGCATTGCAAAGGCCAAAGGGCATCACTACAAACTCATACAGATCGTATCGGGTCTGAAAAGAAGTCTTGTGTTGATCCTCAGGTCTTATAGCAATCTGATGGTAGCCGGATTTTAAGTCTATCTTGCTATAGTTCTTACATCCCTGCACCCTATCCAATAGGTCGTCTATGCGAGGTAGAGGCTCTGCGTTTTTCACTGTGATGGCATTGAGGCCTCTGTAATCAATGCACATCCTCAATGTTCCTCCCTTCTTCGGTACAAATAGAACTGGAGATCCAAAGGGGGAAGTACTTGGCCGTATCCATCTCTTCTCTGTAAGCTCTTTCAGTTGTCGCTGGAGCTTGTCCAACTCGGCCGGAGCCATCCTATAGATCCTTCCCTTTGGGGTTTTACTCCCTGGAATGATTTTTATGGCATGAACAATCTCCCTTTCTACGACTCCTGTAGGCTCCTCAAACAGATCGGGGAACTTAGCAACGACGTGTTCTATCTCTGGGGGTGTTTTTACGGCCTCCCCTTTCTCAGAGACATACACTAGGTACATACCCTCCTCTTGGTTCTGTTTATAATAATTGTAGAACGCTGATGCGCACAAGCAGCCATAGGATTCTATTAAGCTACTAGCCTTATACTTGGCCAGTCTCACGGTCCTTCCACCCTGCAACTTATGCTTTAGCACCTTCTTGTCCCAATCAAACTGGGGCTTAGCAACCTCAAGGTAGTACATTCCTAACAGCATATCAAACGGTAAGTCGTCGCTAACCAGGAACGAAATCTTGTGATCAAGTTCCCCTCGTCCATAGGAGAAGAAGGTACAGACTACATCCTTGATATAGTCTGTGACAACCATGCGCTCCTTATTGGCCAAAATAGATGCTACCGGTCTACTAAGGTGCTGTACCCGGTCCTTTAGGTGCAACCTTTCCAAACAGTCGCGACTTATGTAATTCCGCGTGGAGCCGATGTCTATGAAGGCACCACGTTTGCGGCCTCCTACAGCAACTTCCACAACGAAATGTTCCCCTCTAGGACCTCTACTTAGTGCCACCCAAGATTCGCGAGGGTCCTTGCTTGACCACTCACTTTCTAAATCTTCTAAGGCTTCAGAGGCATCCAATGTACAGAGCAGAGTTTGGTCTAGATGAGTCTGCAGGGTGACTAAAGAGTCGTTAGCTATGGCCTTCTCATGAAGTGGGGAGGGTATCTGTCCCACTTCACCATGAGTAGAAGCAGCTAAAACTTCCACCGGCCTCACATGTTTCCCGAGCTAGAAGCCTGGAAAGAAGGTACCCCTCCCTTAGGGGGTATCTTCTGCGTGACCTTTGCGTTCTTGCACTTGTACTGGGTGTGTCCGTATTCACCACAGTTAATGCAAGCACCACGCACTCGGCGGTTCCGCCACACTTCCTGATCAAGACCTGCCTTGACCCAATCAGCAACTTTGGCTTGATTGGAGGCGGCCTGCACTTGACTCTTTTGATGGCCCTTCCCTCGGCCACCTGCCTTAGTCTTTACTACTGCGGCGAGGGTGCTACCCTCAGCGGTTTCCTTGCCGTCGTACTCTGAACTGTCCATCAGGTCGGTAAGCTCTTCGATTTCAGTTTGGGTCCCATCGGACTCAACCATCATCAATCTACTACCCTTCTTCTTCCATTCCTGTGGACTCTTCTTCTTCCTCCCGTCTACTGGAGTAGGTTGAGCACTTCCTAGAGTAGCCTCTAAGTCTAAGGCCTTTGTAGAGAAAGTCTCAAATGAATGATACTCGAGGCGAGCCTCGCTGGCCAGCAAATTTATGAGATTCTCGGGCAGACATCTCAGAAACATGGTCAATAATACCTGGTCATCATAGCGTATACCGGGTACGACAATGAGGTTCTCTATGGTAGTCGTTAGCTCTCTGACTGACTTGTACTTTCTCTGGTCCAGTCTCAACATCGCGTCAGTGGCAATTTGTGCCTGCTGCGGATTATGCCAGCGAGCTTCTACCATATCTAAGAACTTTTCTAATGTAAGGGTCTTACCCCAATCTACCATGCGTCGTCCGTACGCGGCCTTCGCTACAATTCCATCCAGCCATTTGGCTGCCTTACCCTCAAGGTAAGATGCAGCAGTAATCACCTCCTCCTCCTGCAAAGTCCTCTTTGCCAGGGTTGTCAACCCCCGGGCCCCGGGCCCCGGCGGGGGTCCCGGGGGTCGGGGGTCGGCACCCCCGACCCCGGAAAAAAAAACGCAAAAAATAAAAAAATAAAAAAAAAATTGAAAAATAATTCGAAAAATAAAATAAAAAATATCGGGGGGTGCGCACCGACGCCGCGCATCCCCTGGCAATTTCTGGTTTTTCCAGAAATTGGGGGTCCTTCCCCCCCCCCCCGGGGTGGCTGCCACCAGCGGAGGGGGTCGGGTCTACGGGGGGCGTGGGTCGGCGG